ATCACGATCTTCTGATTTTGAAGGGGAAAGAGATGGGTATATGTAGAGTTTAAGCAATTTGGCGAGCAATGAAATAACAGTGGACCACTGTCTCCCAGCTCCACCGACCCACATATACGTTTCGATCATAATGGGTTGATGTTGCGCACTCGATAAGAAATCCCAGTTTTAAGCTTTGTTATATTCTCATTCGCTCTGAATACTGTCTAGATAAAACAATGTAACTAAATTTAGTTTGCAGACCTGCTTGTAAATACAGATCAAAGATTCAGGTTATTAAGGGATATTAACAAACCATTGCTTAAAGCACTGTTTGGAAATTAAACTGGTGATAATAAGACTTCTGATAGCTGCAATTATGGGATATATATTTACACTGTGTACATACAGTACAGTAGGTCAGAATAGACAATACTGCTACTTAAAAGGATATTAGCTTGTTTGCTGTGCACTCTTCCACAGTGTTTCATTTGAACATTTGATCTGTGAGATTTTCACTGACTCCTAGCAGGAATGTGTCCACAGATCAAAAGAAGTCTGTTTTCCCTTGATTTGATGAGACCTGTTCTCTAATTTATTTTGTTTTAATGTTGTAGTGAAACATGAAAAATGCACATTTTGGTTTAGAAAGGAATTTCCTAGTGAGCAATAGATCAGCTAGAACCCTTTGAATCAACAGGCCTGAAATTGACCAGGCTGTGGTGTTGTCCTCAGAGCTCAGAATAAAAAACAAAAAGCAACTAATGAAATAAAACCTTGTAAGAATAAAGGCATGCTGGTTGGATTTAATTGGAAGGTCTGAGCCTGTTTGCGTGTCAGAAAGAGCTGTTGTTTACAGTCTGCTTGGGTTTTACAATATTATGCCGGCAATCACATCAGAAGAAAAGAAAAAAGTGTGTTATTACTTTTTTTTTCTTTAATGCAAGCTTTTCAGTCTTCATGAGTCATGTTTTTAATTTTAATAAGCATTTTATTAAAGAGCCAAAAAGTAAAGCGAGGAGGAGATTAATCCACCATCCAGATCATATCATACAGTAAGCAGCTGCTTTTGTTGAGAAGTGAGTCACGCTTTAGACTTTCCTGTGTTTTGGAGAGCAGACACTTACTTGGAAAATATCATGCACACGCCCTAAAAACAAACAGCAATGGCCCTGTACATTGATATCAACCCCTTTACACAACCAGAACCCTCCTACGCCTTCTTTTTTATTTACACAACGCTCTTTATAGACATCTATCAGTCCTGAGGTGTTTTCAGTCAGGATCCCGACTTTATTTTTGTTTTATTCAAACACACTGTCGGGTGCTGGCATGGCAAATAGATGCTCCAGGTTTATGCAGTTGCAGATGCTAAATGGTCCAAACATCCTGGATTGGCTGGAAAAGAACCAAGGGGCGACTCTGGCAGCCTCCTATTTCGACCATGGAGCTGAGCATTAATTAATATGGTAATGATCTGTGAAGGTTCATTAACAGGCCGCCACAGAAGTAGCCACAGATACAGTATTAGGCCTGCTTGGAGTAATTAATGGAATAACTTTACTATAGTGGTAAATATTCATGGGCCCTTATGGTTTTTGTCTGCCCCGTGTGAAGAGAGAGGGCGGCCTGTCCATTAGAGGAGCTGAAGAGCTGTCCGCCATGAATGCAGGCTTTTTGTTGGGATTGGGTACATTTCAGTGGAGGAGTATTAATTCATATTTTAAGCATGCAATCTTTTAACAAAGCCAAAGGCACTGATAACATACCTGGGACTAGAGAGCATATTGTGAAGCTGTGACCCCTTCAGCAAATAGGCAAGTCCACTTCACTGGTTTGTGAACAGAATACAATGAGTCTCTATTCATGCTCAGATGTAGCAAAAGCTTTTCATTGCCATAGAAAATAAAATGAAAGAGAAAAACCTCCTGAAATAGGCAGTATTCGATGCACCCCCAGCTGTTACAGTGACACTTGTGGTATTTTACATAAAGAATACAAGCATCTGATCTTCTTGAGCTATCAAGCTAATGGCTAATGGGTATTTGTTGTGCTGTAACAGTTTCTTCGTCAAAAGTCACTTGTATTTCTATTTTCCACTTTGTTTAACACCACAGAAATACAACATTAGCTCCAGGCTTACTGGATAAGCTTGCAAAATGCTCCTTAGCTTCCTCTGTCTTCTGAAATTGTTGCATTTTGATTCATATTTCTAGCTTAGGTCTCTTACTGAGCATGCACATAACCCACCTAGGAGGGTAATTATCTCAACCAGGCGTTGTTCCATTTCCTAAAATTTCTATGCGGGAGTGTGTGATGGGCTCGGGTTTTCCCAGCCTGGTGAAGCAGCGTGTGCTTGTTTATCCTCACCCTGCGATATCTGCACCCCCACTGCTCCAAATGGCAATATTACCTCCTTGTGCTGTTTGAAATGGAGACAATTATCTGTTTAGGTATTACAAGATGGGCGTTATATTACGAGGAGAAAAGGCGTAGAGCTGCTATCACGATCCTGTTGTTGCCTTTTTCTCACCAATTCAACTGTTCAATCATTAAAATGATGGAACATTTATCTAAATGGATGTTATGCATTGGGTAAACTCATTTAGCTCCCGGGGCTCTTTCAGGTGATGGGAATTAATGATGTTTAGTAGTTTGAAACTGAAAATATCTGTCATTTGTCACCTCTCGCTATTGATTTACGATTCCATCGATGATATGTTAATTGAGGAGTAATGAATCACAATAATAGGGTAGTTATCTGGGAATGGTCCATTTTGCTGATTGTTCCACCTTCAGTAGAGCTCACAGCCAGCTAGGTGTTTTAACTCACAATTAAATGGACTATTCAGTGGTTAATTTATTTCCTCTAATAAATGTGCATTAACAAAAACACCAAGCAGTTTGATAAACAAAATATTTCTGTTCCAGGGTTTCAAAAGAAGTTTAAAAAAAAAAAAAAAAAAAGAGAAGAGGTGCTAAATCTACTTTCTTTCCTGCTGATTAAAGGGGAACACCGTTTTTTTTTTTTTACATTGGCCCCTTGATTTTACGTTATTACATCATGTTCTACTCACCCATATGAGTTTTGTTTCATTTGAAGCTGTTCTGAAGATATTTGGTTTTGTTATATCCAAGTAACGTCTTCCTATGGGCAAACGACATGAAGGCACAAACTAAACTGTTCATAATTTATTCTTTATGGTACGCCAGCATTAATAACATGTAGGCGAATCACTGTCCCCCAGACAATCCGCGGTTATATTTTTTATATTTCTATTTTTTAAAAACAAAGTGTGTATGATGTCATCCACGCACCGGATGACGTCATCCGGCGCGTGGCTGCAAAATCCCCTCCGACTTCCAGTGGCTGCGTAATTTAGGTTTTTAAAAAAAAAAAATAAATCGAGGGCAACCCGGATGTATATCTGGATGTGCGTGTGCAAATGAGCTGAGTGTACAGATCGTACCCTGACAGGATAGTTACAGCCATTACTTTATGTACCTTAAAGTTAAGATTTGACAAAAAACTTTTCATGTTTCCTGGTTAGCTCTCTTCATAATGTTGAAAGCTCATAAAGATTAAACCGAGCAACTTTGCTTTAATGCTCCGAGCTTCTTGTTATCTGCTAAAAGTCTTGCCCTCTCTCACTCTTTCACATGCCTATGCAATGATGCACAGGCAGTTCTGCAGGAAACAGTAGTTTTCTGTTGTGATTCTGTTATTGGACAGCTTACCGTTACTAAAACCAGCTGTTTGTATCAGTTATTACAGCTACACAAAAAGAGGTGATGTCCACAGGCACTTGTAGTTTAGGTATGGTGTGGTCCCTGAACATAGTAACATCAGATCAAGTTTCTAACGGACCGGAGCCATAGTTTTATTTAGGCTTAAAGTTTATTCAGTTTTCCTAAATTGTTTGCAGCAGCAGGAAAATTTATCTTTAAATGGGGAGCTTGATTAACAGCATACAAATAATTGGAAAAAAAGAACATTCATATACTATAAAGAACGGTCATCAGGAGCCTTATGCCTCCTGTGACGTCACCAGAGACGTGTGTTTGCTTCTCTTTCGACTAAATATCCGTGAATAAAGGCTTTGATGGTTTTTACAGAAAAGTCGGACTGTTTCTTTAAAGCTGAAGCTGGACAGTGTGTGCTGTGGGGTGTTTTTTTTTTTATCTCTCTTCATTATGTTTTAGATAAACACTTTGACAAATGCTTGGCCACAATTTTGACTGCCAAATGTAAACGGCAAAAAAGAACAGCGGTAGAAAAAAGTTTTTTTTCTTTCTTTCACATTTGGATATGCTTTAATGCTTTTATTCAAATTCACCTGTGATAGAGTCCTACAGTCACTTCTCAGTTTACCATAAAAATAAGATTCTGTTTCCCTCTCTCAGTTTTTTTCCCCCCTTTTTTCTTTTCCTGGGTTGAGTGCTCGTTTTGGGAAACTTGGTGCATGCAGAACAGGGCCACCCATGAGGACTGCTGCAGGGCAAAGCAGGTAGACGTACATGGTGTTTACCAGCGAAGGGGGGGCACAAGTGCAGCATCCACTAATATGAAGCGTTTTTGTCTTGCAAATCAAGCATTTAGTCACAGACAGGCTCATTGTTCATGCGTTATCATCAGTGGGTGTAGTTTTAGTTCACTGACAGATGGGAATGCGAGGATGTGTCGCGCCGGGACTCTAGTGGCTCAGAGAAGATAAGCGAAAGGTGCCTCCTGCCCCGCTCAGACCTCAGGTGGTAGCTCTCGTATTCCTCGCAGCCAATGCAGCTACAGGGACTGGTAAAGGACAAGCAAACAGCCCAGGAATGCAGAGAATTGATTTCTGCTGATGATTTCTCAGAACATATTTAGACTGGTTGTGAACGTTACAGTCTGATCAATACCAGCGGGTGGCCTTGTTTGTACACATGCAGTGGCTGATTCTGTTTTGTAAGTGCTGACGACAATCATTATTATTGTTAATTATTTCCGAACTATAAATAATCATTCATTTTTCTGTCTGCAGGGTGAGGAGGCTGTTTTCCTACCGCTGGAACTGGAGATTGCTTTGAATAAGCAAGTTCTTGTAGAAGGTAAACACACAATCATTCACCAGGCTGCAGCCTCCGCATGTGTGTGTGTGAATGCTCATTCAATTGGCTTAATAATTAACTTGAAGCTTGTGTGGTTTTCTTGTTTGTGCGCTGTATTTTGTGGGAGTGGGGCGGCATCAGTGGGTGGATCAGGGGACGTAACAGGTGCTCCCTGTTGCTTTTCTGACCAGCTGCCCTTCTGAAACCAGCATGGTGAGTAGTTAAGGGACAGAGCTTAGTCCTCTGGTTCGTTGTGCAATACTAGCGCGATTTAAAACAGAGGAAGTAGTGTAAAGGAAGCGGAGATGGCTGCTGAGGTTGGAGAAGTTTTAGGTGTGTTAATTCCCTGTTTACCCAACAAGGAGGGATTGCTTCGGGCACAAATGGTTGCAGAACAAGACGTCTTTGTCTTTGTTATTTATCCCTGGTTTAGTCTTCACACTAACGTTTGCTTTATAGTGACGGAGAACTTTTAGAGGATCAGTGGATCAGCAGTGGAACGTATAGGGAGGGGATCTGTCTGTGTGTGTGTGTAGGAGTGTGTATATAGATATGGGTGTTAGCACCTACGGGGCTTAGAGCATCAGAGGATTGTCTCTCTCTAGTCATTATATTTTTTTTAGTGGTAATCATTTTTCCCATCAGTTTAGTGTCTGTTTTTAAACAATTATAAACATTTTTCCCTGGTTTTGTTTCCCCCCCCCCCAAATTTTAAAAACAATAGAATTTGAATTGATTTGATAGAGTTTAGGATAAAAACCTGGTTTTGCCTTTTCAAACAAAGGTTATCATTAACTCCTCTACATTTCGATGATAATATTATAAGTCAAACTAAAAACACAAGTTTAGTAGGTACTGGGTTTAGACTTTTGTTTTTGCTATAAATCGAAAATAAATCTAAAAGAAATGGTGAAAACTTAATTTAGGTACAAGAAATGAAGCATCTAGTCCTTTATGGATTTTCAGATGTATTTTGTGCATGGAAAAACTTTTTTCACCTGCACTATTTGCTTTCAGTTAGCAGATCAGAGCCGGTTAAATGCAGATAGCCAATGGCTGTTGTTTTGGCAAAAACTATTTCTTATGTTTTCTGATGAGTGGTTCATGTTTTTTATTGTTTGTTTTGTTTTTGCAAAGCTTAAAAATGAAACTGTAATTTTTCTTTTTCTTGTAAAATGTAAACTTGTTTCTAAGCTTGTGGCCTTTAGTTCATATCCTGTAGACTGATTTGAAGTTTTTAATGTTGCTCTGGTTCAGGAACAGACATTTCAGGGTTTTAGATTAGTTGAATAATTTACCTTTTTTATGCTTTTTTATCATAAGCTGCTGCTTTTCTATCAAGTATTAAACTGAGTTTTCATTTTTAACAGTAATTTCCAGAAAGGTGCTTGCATGTCATGTAGCCATACATTTATTTAAAGAAATTGATGATTGGGATCTCTGTAAAAACTATATTAGCTTTACTTTGTGCTTCCTCTCCAACTTGTTAGCAATCATCCCTGATCAGGAACCTCTGTCTCAGCTCTGCTTCTGGAAAAAAAAAGTCACAGCTCAGGAACAAAGCCTTGCAAGAGGCACATTTCACATCATTTGTTGCTGTTTTTTCTGGAGTGCATTCTCTGCATACTCTGGTTCGCTCCACTGGGGCCCCTCAGCTGCATGCTCCAGATGAAAGATCAGCGCTGAAATGTTCCAAATGATCGTGTAATTAATGTTAATGTGGCCAAATCAGCTTAATTATTGACACAAGCGTCCAATGTGATTTTGATTGCGTTGCTTGTGCAGAAATCCCCACGGCAGCTTATGGGATTAATGCGTCTTGTTGTGAAAAGCTCCTTTAAAGTGCAGTGGAGTCAAGCAAGCGAGTATGTGAATAGCATGTATGGGGTTCCCTCTTTATATGGATCAGGCATACGTTAGGAAGGAGAACAAAGGGATTTCATCAGATGCAGCCTGACGAAAGTTAAAATTCCGATATGTGGAGTGTTTATAGTAGAAGCCACATATCTCTGTGAAAAAACTGCTTCTGATGTGTGCCGTATGTCTGGTTTGGATAGTTTAATGCAGACTTAATGGCATCCTGTTTGAACACCAAGGAAATCTTCAGAGGTCTGAAATATCTTTCTCTATCTTTAGAGCTTTAAGATATTTTTCTTGCAATCAGCATTATTTAGCTTTCATAAATTTACAACAACAAAACAACCTCTTGTGCAAACTAAGCATCAGCTGTGAAGCATTGAGTTAAAATACCACAATATCTCTGTATTTTAGAAAAATTGTTCTACATGATGAATTTTCTTGGAGTTTAAACCAGTGAACCATCGCTTTCCCCTACTGCTGCTAACAATGGAAGCATGTTAATTAATTACCACATTTTTTAACAAATGGATATCAGTTAGTGATACTTAGCTAAGTGTTATTGGATGACGGTAGAAAAGGGTTAGTTTCCTTAATAAGCCATCTGATCTGCAGTGCACAGCAACAGCTCACTTTTGTACTTACTCAAAAATTAATCAAAATTCTATTCAATTAAGTTTATTCACATGGTGTCAATTCACAACACTTTACCAATTCAGCTAGTTTAAGATAATTATTCAGATTGGTTTAAAGTTTTCTATGTAAGGAAACCCAACATTGACTTTGAGTCATTGACTTTGCATAATTCAATCCTCTTGGAAGAGGATTTAGTGACAGTGGGTAGAAAAACTCCATTCAGCAGAGCAGAACGGCCTGCTGCGAGTGACTGGGAAGTAGATAAGAGACAGGCAGACACACAAAAGGAAAACAAGCGCAGATCGAGGAATACTTTTCACTGTGGAAAGGTTACAGTTTAATGATTGCAGTCTCTCTTTTTGTGACTTCACCTAGGACAGAAACACAGCCAAACAGAAGAGCTCATAGCAGGATTTTGACTCTAGAGGGTCAAAGAGAGCATATACAGTTAGTCTAAGTAAAGCTAATCAAAGAATCTTCTAAAGCAAGACAGGACCAAGTGGATTGTCTCCAGAGGGAGACTGCCAGGCCAAAATAAGTGACTATATCAGAAAGAGAACATAAAGTATAAAAGTTAAAATAAATGCATATTATCAAAAAGGACAATTGGAGACAATTTTGCCTTACACCTCTACATTCTCCTATGTCCTCTATAGCAGCATATCCACAGCGATGGCTCAGATTGCCCTGGCCTCTCTAAGCTATATGAGATGAAAACTTTTAAGCTGCCTCTTAAAAATAAATGAGGTGTCTGCCTGATGACCTGAAAATGAAAGCTGGCTCCACAGGAGAGGAGCCTGAAAATGAAAGGTTCTACCTCCATTTTTGTTTTCAGAAACTTAAAATGTTGTCAGTTTTATGACCTTTTTTAGTGGTCTTACTTATTAGCATAACTAGACTTAGACAACTTTTATTGTCATTTTGTATACACAGAGTGTATACAATACAAATTTTCATTTTGTACAGCTCTCATGACATTTCCATTTCTTAAAGTGCAGCAGTGGTCAAATGTAAACTAATACATACATGGTGCAAAAAAACATTAATGTGGTCAGTAGGGGCGAGTATTGGCATGGGTTTTGTGATACAATATGTTTCATGATACGATATTATCATGATATTGCAATATAACTATATATTGTGATATTTTTCTCAGCTATCAAAATTAAATGTATAGCTAAATGTATAGCTGGTGCTGTATATGTTCATCAGAAGATATTTATCATTTAGTTATTTTGGGTTTTATTTAGTCCACATTTTCCACTGTGACTGCCTCAACTACATATATGGAGCTGCCTCGCACTGCAAAAGCCTTCATTACTCTCTTCATATTCTGGGAAATGAGTTCATATTCAGTCACCTATTGAAAAATCGATACCAGGAGCTGAAAGATTGATATATCGGGCAGCGAAAACTCAATCAAAAATCAGCCAAAACGATTTTTTCCCCCTAGTGGTCAGTTTGATGCAGTGTCATGATTTAGATTTTAACATACACTATATTGCCAAAAGTATTTGCTCACCCATCCAAATTATTGGAATCAGGTGTTCCAATCACTTCCATGGCCACAGGTGTATAAATTCAAGCACCTAGGCATGCAGACTGTTTTTACAAACATTTGTGAAAGATTGGGTCGCTCTCAGGAGCTCAGTGAATTCCAGCGTGGAACTGTGATAGGATGCCACCTGTGCAACAAATCCAGTCGTGAAATTTCCTCGCTCCTAAATATTCCACAGTCAACTGTCAGCTGTATTATAAGAAAATGGAAGTGTTTGGGAACGACAGCAACTCAGCCACGAAGTGGTAGGCCACGTAAACTGACGGAGCGGGGTCAGCGGATGCTGAAGCGCATAGTGCGAAGAGGTCGCCAACTTTCTGCAGAGTCAATCACTACAGACCTCCAAACTTCATGTGGCCTTCAGATTAGCTCAAGAACTGTGCGCAGAGAGCTTCATGGAATGGGTTTCCATGGTCGAGCAGCTGCATCCAAGCCATACATCACCAAGTGCAATGCAAAGCGTCGGATGCGGTGGTGTAAAGCACGCCGCCACTGGACTCTAGAGCAGTGGAGACGCGTTCTCTGGAGTGACGAATCGCGCTTCTCCATCTGGCAATCTGATGGACGGGTCTGGGTTTGGCGGTTGCCAGGAGAACGGTACTTGTCTGACTGCATTGTGCCAAGTGTAAAGTTTGGTGAAGGGGGGATTATGGTGTGGGGTTGTTTTTCAGGAGCTGGGCTTGGCCCCTTAGTTCCAAGGAAAGGAACTCTGAATGCTTCAGCATACCAAGACATTTTGGACAATTCCATGCTCCCAACTTTGTGGGAACAGTTTGGAGCTGGCCCCTTCCTCTTCCAACATGACTGTGCACCAGTGCACAAAGCAAGGTCCATAAAGACATGGATGACAGAGTCTGGTGTGGATGAACTTGACTGGCCTGCACAGAGTCCTGACCTCAACCCGATAGAACACCTTTGGGATGAATTAGAGCGGAGACTGAGAGCCAGG